ATCGCGATTAAGATAGATTCGCTATTATAGCGTCAGCTCCATTTGACGCCACTGGGCGCCACGATCTCTGGGAAGGGTAAACAGGGATCTTGGTTACAAATATAACATTGGTTTCTAAAGCTGGCGCCATTTAATGGCTAAAAGCGCCACTCTGGTGCTATCACATTTTCACCGAAGCCGATATCAATGTATTTCGAGATTATCGAGGTTTCTAATTACAAGTACGATACTTATATCATCAATGGCGCCACAAGACGCCAGTTTGGCGCCATGGGGTCCTTTAAATTGACGCCCGCAGGCGCCATCTGGCGCCGGTGTCGAGAATGAATGTCACATTCATGATCACCAAATGCAATGTTTCACTAATTTCGCTGAGAACGATCGTGGTGGCAAATGGCGCCGGCGTCCAAAAATGAATGTCATTATTCGTGATTGTGACGTGGCATAGCCGTCCAGTACAAATTTTCAGAGTGAAGTATGAAACAATAAAAAGTTGCGAATGAAACCCGCCCCGTCACATGTGAACGCCACCGGAAATAGGCGTCGGTACGAATTAAGTACGACTCGCAATGATAAAGTTTTACTGAGAAAACTCGACTCACAGCCAAAAGCGGGATGAGTATCGATAGCATTCCGCAATTCAGTCTCGCTGGGAGGACTCAGACTGGTGCGATCGATAGGAGCGGGACTGAGAACCTATAAAATCCCACACGTTTACAAAAGTACAAATGAAGAACAATGCTAGGTCAAAATTTGTTCCACCTGCTGAGGCGGTGGTCGAACATCTGCTTCCCCATCGCTGATGTCTTGGACAATAGTTGCGGTGACACAATCGCCTTCCTGAAAGCATTGAAAATGCAATTTAAGCAATTTCCTTCACTAGTCACTTCACGGAGCTCACTTCAACAATATAAATTAGGAACTCGTGATGAGACCTCGCAATCTATTGCAGATGTTATAGCACAATATTCACGACCATCTACAGCGATTTCACAAATTATGGTTACATCACTCGCAACGCAAACACACCCAATAAATATAAAAAATACGGGAATTTCCACAAATACCCTGGCTAAAAGCATACGTGCTCCGTAAGTATGCTCGAGAGCTCACACACTTGAAGCGAGTGAACAGAAAGCAACTATGCTCAAACGAAATACAGAACATGGGAGGGATTTTAAATGGTGAACAACCATGCAAAACAATCACAAGTATAAACTGTGCCACTAACACGCCACTCTGAGTTATGTTTCTTAAGACTACCTGCTGTACCGAATGGTATGTGGGATTACAGAACATGGTTTGTTGAAGCTCGCCCATTCCACAGTTCTGTAGCAACTGTGGCACAGGGCCTGCGGGTGGGCTACTCATCAACGTGGGTGGAGGAGGAATCCCATGGCCTCGTGCAGAATTCTGCTAACCGTACAATTATGACTCATCAACGATTACTATCAAAATCGTGAATGCAATAAAACGTTATTTCTAGCATAGTCAAACTACTTTTAAATTAGAGCCTCTTCCTAAAAATGCAAGGACTTAATTCGAAAAAAAGAAAACGCCAGCATTGAACAGAGACAGGAAATTCTTTAAGTCGTGAGAAAATAGGAACAACGTACTCATAGTCTCGTTCACTGCGTATGATGGGGCGTACCCGGGGGTTAATTTTGGTACGGCGCTGACCCATTTTTTTTTTCTTTTCGGCAAGTGACGACTGTATCA